GTAGTGCATGTAGTCAACAGGATTAATTGATAAGCCCAGGCTTATTGGTTCATCATGTAGTCAACTACATGTTGACAGCCCTACTTTACACCATGGAACATGGTCACAGAGGAGCCTTTGATACAGGTTATCTAGATAACAGTTTGGTGCGTGTTGCAGGAAGGGAGTATAATATTGCAAAGGCCGTTACTTAAAAATGTACAGTTAAACCACAGCACAATAATTTTCCAATTGTACTTTTGACCAAGGAAAAATGAGCAAACGAATAGCAGCCATTGCTATTAGTGAGGCAGTGACCATACTAGACTCTTAGTCATTCCCTTCTCCTTTAAAAGCACTTTAAAGACATAATAATGCGTTTCTGAATATTCTCTGGCCTAGGTTTCCTCTTCCATTTTGTTTCAATTAGCTACTGTTTCAGGACTTTACCACAGATGTGTCGGTTAAATGATGCCTTTGTGTCCCACGTGGGAATATCAGTTCATGGTGTTTGCCATGAATACTATGCATAAAGGGTCAGAGTCAACCCTCTTTAAAGCCAGTGAATATGTTGCCATTTCTCAGTTCAACTGAAGTTGTACCAGGCCTGAAATGAGCTAGAATTCTTCACAAACAATATTTATGTACCAAATATATGGCTGAAGACAGAAATTTAGATAAGATACAGCAAAATTTCGGACGCTATGGCGTGGTAGATTGAAATATGGGTACGTCTACACTAGCCCCCTAGATCGATCTAGGGAGGCTAATGAGGGTGACTGAAATTGCAAATCAAGCCCAGGATTTAAATAACTGCAATGAGGTGTACCAGCTAATTCAATTTAGGGGCTTTAAATCGGAATCCCGTTTCACTGCTGCATGTAGAAGCGGGCAGTTATTTCGGGCTAGTCAATTTCTAAAATAGCGACCGGCCGGGAACATGCAAATCAAGCGCGGGATATTTAAATCCCAGGCTTAATTTGCAATTTCGGTCGCCCTCATTAGCCTCCCTATGATATTAAGAATTTCAGTCCACATGCAAACAGATGTATTAGAACACTTTCTTGTCCAACCCTCATTTGTGAAGCAAGCCATTCTTAACAGACTTGCCCCTTCCTATTATTTCCTGCTTGTGTCAGTCACGCTGTGTTATACTTTATGTTGTCATATTATAAATGTGAAAATGGCATTATTTGAAAACTCAGTCACTCATGAACCACTGAGCTTATAAATAGTGCTAATATTAGAAGCCCTCCTTTATGCTTCATTGATTTTAACAAACAGGATCTGCAGCTGGTATTTATTTCTTTTTTTGTGGATATCCTCCAAGCAGTCTTCTGAAAGCATTCTCCAGCTGCCATTTCCCTTCAATTTAGAAACACACTATTTATAAACAGTTTTACATCAACAGTCCTGGTATAGTACATCCATATTCCGACATACAGACAGACTGTTCACACAGGATCATGTATGTACTGTACTACGGACATTAAAAATCAGTGGCATAGCATCCATTTATAGCTGACTGCTATGGACTACTTTTCTCCCTTCTGACTGAAATGAAAATGATCATTCTTTTTGTGTAGCCATTTTTCTTTCTTGCTGGGAGAAGGAGAGAAGAAACAAGAGTGTTCAAAAAGCGCTCCTGATTCCTCCTTCTCCAAAGCCATTAGACCTTTATAAATTTACTCCATAATGGGAGAAGACTTTGAGCAACAAGTTCAACTGCTTAATCCGTGTCCAGTCAATAGCTACCTCATACTGCATTCCTGGGCCAGCATCAATATGGACGAGTAAAACATCTAAAGTGCAAGTAACAAAAACCTGCCTGTTTACAAAGGAACAAGGTACAAGATCTACTACCGTTAGTACCGATACAGTCCAATGACAAAAGGATTACCTCGTTACCAACCCCAGATGCAGACATAGTCTGTTCTGAAGGATGCATTATGCTTGCCTGCAGTGATTGAGATAGAGGAGGCAGCCGCTGCTGCGAAATTGCTTGCATGGTCTGAGTGTGGTGGGGAGAGGGAGCATCGCTCTGAATTATCTGCTGGAAGGCAGGCTGGTACATCTGTTGCTGGGAGAGCTGGGATATTGCATGATGTGTTGGCAAGGCTGACACTCCCGGTGGAGCCACAGTAAGTAATGGTATTGTAGCAGCCGACATATTTGGCACTATTGTTTGGCAGGGCAAAACCAAAGAAGCCACGGTAGTATGAGGAAGGTTGACTGTCTGCATGGGTAGGACAGGGGGATTGGATGCCAGAGGCAGAGCAGGGTTCATGGAAAGGCTTGGTATAATCACAGCTGGAGTGAAATACTGAGAAGGAGCAGGTATGGGGGGTGCATTTGCAGCAGGTAAATCAGAGAGGCCTGGAGGAAGGTTGTCAAGTCCTGCCAGAGGAGTAACTGCAGGAATGACAGGAAGCTGAGGAATCTGAAAAAAATATAATACCACATAAATTGCAAATGTTTTAACTGATGGTACAAATTAGTTTAATCTGCCATCTAACCATTAATTCATTGGTGCCATGCTAATTATATCTATTTATTAGTCATTTCCTTCCATTTCCAGGGGTTTATCAATAGCAGCCCTTTGATAAATTGATTTAATTGAATACACAAGGAGAATTTTAAAGGTATTGGCCATTTTTAACCCAGAAGAATTCACAACCGTTTCAGAAATTATTTAGCAGCCACCAAGCACCCAATAATAAATAATCACCATTCCTATGATTTTGAAACAAATTAAAAATCACACTAGATAGCGCCTTCAAAAGGTGCATGGAAAATGAGTTGAGACAATTTTAATAATTCATATGGCAAATAAGCAGGATAGAAACGTGTTGGAATAGCTTGTATGCACATAAATTCCCAATGACAATAGAGCATAACTACTCTAGGTTTGCCAGTCCGCAGTTGAACATTTTCCTAGAATGCAGTGAACAGAACATGTCTTGAGGACTTCTGACTTCCCAATAGTGATCTCATGCACTATGGCCCTACTCCTGAAAATACTGAAATTTGTGACTATTCCCCCCCACTCACAGGCATTTGCAGGCTTAGCATCTACATTTTAAACTGCTATAATCTCACTATTTCCTTTTTAATGCACACACAAAGGAATTGTGGGTTAAGTTCTCATGAACGTTCTTTTGCGTTGACAACAAAAGTGGATTATAACACAAAAATCTCGAAAAAAAAAGTGTAAATGCTGGATATGCCAGTAATTTTATAGGTAGTCATAGTAAAATAATGTATCAGGTTAAGAAGTAGCAATATGCTGCATTTAAGTCAGTAGAAATTCTTTATAGTAAATGCACGTTTAATCTTCAGAAGAAATTTAGGCAGATACTTGGCTTTTGGAAGTGCAGGGATTTTATTTTGCAGCTGCACAATTTTTTAAGAGCAGAGAGTGAGAATTTTCTTCACTAACTCCCACTATCTGCTTTGGTACAGAGATCAGAAGAATACATCACTGACGCAGCTTGCTCTTCCCCCTCTTATTCCCTTCTATTAAACTGCTTCCTATCTGAAAAACCCTCACCAGCCAATCTACGAAATGGTGCTACAAAGAACTTTACCACTGCAGGCCAAAGAAAAGGTTCCATCGCAGCTACTGCTAATGGAAAGGGGCCAGAAATCTAGAAAGGGAAAGCCATAGGGAGAAGACAGTGGGGTGAATGGTGAAGAAAAGAGCTCAATAACATAAAATAGGCAATTGCTCATGCTCTTAAGCAAGGATGGGGATGAGGGTCCACCACGAAGGGAAAAAACGCAGAATTATAGTTATTGCAATTCAAGGAAGAGCATTAATAGGGTTAACTAGGCAAGACCCAGGATAACTGAAACAGGATGACTTTCTTTTGGCTCACCAAAACGAAAAATTTCCCATAGCCAGGTGAAAACATGAGGGAGAGTGACATTCACTGATCACTGCCTAGAAAATGTCACTGGAATGGACATGCCTTTACATTTTTAAACACACCCCTGAATGCTCAGGACACTTTACCTGGGAGGATGGGACATGAGGAAGCTGCTGCACAGTGGAAATCTGTAATGGTGTGAGCGGTGTACTGGTAGCTGCCACCTGAGAAGGCTGGGTTTGATACTGGGGCAGCACATGGGCGGCAGGCTGTACTGCACAAACTGGCTGGCTGGCTAGAACCTGCGGTAGAGGAGCTTGCTGTGGCATAGACTGCTGCTAGAGAATAAAAAAATTGCACATTAAGAAAGATTTACTTCACTGGTATTACATTTCCAATTAAAGCTTCATGTCACTCCTATTGAGAAGCACTGGTTTAACAACAACAAAAAAGGGGGGGGGGGAACTGACACTCGCAGCTCAAACATTGCACAAGGGCCTAGATTTAAATCCCATGTAAATAAAACCTACATTACCACAAAAGACATATTCTAGCTGTTTGTATTTTTAATGAATCGTGGAGGCTCTTTAAAGCTTGTCTAAGACAAAATAATCTCTATTTTCCAGCCAGCGCTGTAAAATCTCCCAACTGTGGACCCCACGTATTCCTATATGTAGAGCAAACCAGGGCAATATTTATGTAATAAAGCTACAAAAGCCAGAATCTCAGAAAGTATTTCCTCCCCCCAGGCAGATCTGAAAGTATGCAAAGGCTAGGGAACTGACAGTATTAGCAACTCATGTCTTACATGGACCAGCTCATAGCCCTTTAATAACTTAAAGTGAACTACAAGACAAAGAGCCCTCTGCACGATAATGCTTTTTGTGATTGATGTATAAAGACACTTCAAAACTATTGAAAAAAGTTTATTTTTTAAAAATTTGGGTTCAAAAAAAGAATAGTTTATTGATCCAATCTTCCCAGAAATGAACAGTGATGTCAAATGAATGTGTGACCAGAACTGGCTCTTTCACTGCCTCCAAATGAAGTGATGGCATTCTAATTCATTACAAGTCAATATTCAGCATCACTTCTCTGTTGGGTCAGGAGGTGAGATAGGAAAAATTCAAATCACAAACTCAGATAACATCACATACTGCATTTTCTAGTAACCTTGCCAAGAGGGGAAAGTAAAGACCTTACTTCTCATATAAAAGCAGCACTTTAAAAGATCATTGGAGAATGTTTTAAATAATCATTCAAGGGCAAAACAGGTTTTTCTGTTTTACAATCCTGCTTTAAACATTCAGATAAACTTTTAACAAGTGACAACTCATCTTTATGAGAGCCCTCAACTCTTGCCTGCAGGGACTACACTCTATAGTTGAAAGTTTAGTTATTGTCACAACAGTTTTAGAACTTTTCTTTGGATAGAGAACGTAGACAATGCCATATGAAACACCTCTACCCTTCTTCCCCCATAGTTAGCTTACCCTGCAGCAAATACAAAATAAATCAGAACCTAATTTTGTAACTCTTCACAGACAATAATTTAACAGCAAATGCAACTCAGTGTTCAGCCTCTTGCAGTTCAGCTGAACTCTGCTCAGCTCCTTTAATTAAATTTTACACAAGTACTCTTGTTCAATTGGAGAGCAAAGCAGCAGGTGAGCAAAGAAACTGGCATAAATCTAACATTTCGGCACCTCTCCCAGGAAGTCTCTAGATCTGTCAAGGGGGTCTCTAGTGACACCCCTGGAAACCAAGTTCAGGGTTCACAGATGTTAGGATATTGCTATTTGGGCTTGCCTGTAAAGACCAATATGTTCAGCATTTTGGTATTTTTTTATCACTTAGCTCGTTATAAAGGTGTAAAAACAAAGAATCAAAATCACAGTCTATCCGTATGTGATAGTCTGAGGCTTTTGGCTAAGCTGCAGTGGTATCCATCCATAAACTGGGAAACCTACAATCACAGTCCTGACACATTCCAAATCAGTCATATTGAAATAAGGCAATTCCAGGCTGTTAGAAAGGTGATTGCTTCTAGATAAAGGGAAGACTCAGGCTGATGGCTTTGTCTGGCAAGGGCCCACTTACCAATAGGTGGGGATGTGAAATCTATTGCTTTGTTATTATGCTCTCCACCTCTCTATTGTTTATCTGTATTGTCTCTTCTTTGTTTGTCAGCTGCATAATCAATTTTGTTGGATGTAAGCCAATTAAGGTGGTGGGATATAATTGGTTAGGTAAACACGTTAGGATGGTTAGTTAAGTTTCAGTAAAACGACTGGTTAAGAATAAGGTATACCTCAAAATATTACTGCATACATTGGGGATAAATAAGAAGTAAATGGGGAAAAACAAGCGAACAAGGGAAAAAAGGAAAGGAAACTGGATTCATGCTAGCTGGAAGCTAACTCCAATAAACATCAAATTGTTTGCATCTCTGGCCTTATTCTCTGTTCAGTGAGAAGGACCAGGTGAAATGGGAGGGTGAAGGAATAAGCCCTCCAACAGGGAAGCACTGCTTCGTTGGCCTGCCATACAACTGACCATTTGATTAGAATGATGGTTACCGTTCTATGGCGGACTTAATCACGTTTTCACCTCTAACCATCTGGTCTGGATGTAATTTAAGAGATAATACGCCGAGTGTTAAAACCTTAAAGAAAAAAAATGAATAGGAACCGTAATGGTTGCTTTTCATCTTTGTTGCTCTTGAGGAATGACAGCTCCAGAGCGCTGGATCTTTTTGTGCATTTTCAGTGACAGAATGCTTCAACAAGAGCCCTCACTTCCCTTTTTAAAATATATAAACACAGGAACAGGGATGAACCTGATTAAGATATCAGGTCGGCTTGCCCTTTTTGAAGCAGTTAAGACTGACGCAACTTGATGGCTCCCAAAACACGGGGTGACCAGATGTGTGTTTGGCTACTTGCATCTGGTAGCACAGGTTACAGGGCAAGTTTCAAAGCAACAGGATGATACGTTGAGGCACGAAAGATTCCTTTCACAAGACTTGAGTTAACCTCCTAAAGCTTCCATAACCCATCTCATTTATTTTGAACTATTTACTATAGTTCAAAATGCCCACAGCCTGAGTGCAATGTGAGGAGAACCAAACTCAACTGCACGATAATAATCATAGTATAAAGTCACCTTCTAAATACCTAGAAAGCCACAACATGACTGAATCATCTTCTCACCTGCTCACACAGCGTCTCAGGCCTAGCCTAACCTTCTTTTGTACTCTCACATACCAGCAAGTTTGCTTTCCAAGCAGAGACATGCACACATGGCCTGTATTTTTTGCATATGAAGGTGCATTATTCTGCGCACTAGTTTCTAGGGCACGGGGATGTGAGTGTACATAAAGAAAAGCCACTCTGAAGATGAGAGAGAGAACTATGGGCGGCGGGGGGCTGGGGAGGGGGTATTGACTATGCAGTTCATCTTCTAAATCCTCTGAAACGTAAAGCTAATTTGATTTGGATAAATGATGGTTTCTCTCCGCAATTTTACATACTTCTGCTTATGTACCTCTGTAGCAGTGTTGTCTTCAAGTTGTCATTGTCAAGTCCAAGTCAAGTCTCAAGTCACTACAGTTCAAGTCTCAAGTCGAGTCTTGAGTCCCTAAAGTCACTTTCGAGTCAAGTCCCACGTCGAGTCTCAAGTCTTAATTAAAAAAAAATGTCAAGTCACTTTTGTACAAGCCATCAATATTGGCATTTTCGGATAATTTTTTCACCAAGTCAATTTAACAAAATTAGCAAGTCTCAAGTCACAAACAATGAACCTGAGTCGAGTCTCAAGTCGAGTCACCTAGGAGACTTAAGTCAGACTTGAGTTCAAGTCGTAGGACTTGAGTCAACAACTCTGCTCTTTAGCATTTGCTTTGAAATGGATGAGTGATTTTCAACCTGGTCTAAATGACTGAGGCACAAATCCCACCGACTTTCGATGAGACTTACTCTCTCAAGTAACTTTAATGTTTTTGAAATTTTCATCCAAACAACTTTTAACATTCTAACCCTATGCACAACAATACACCTTGTATCTCATGTGGCCTGCATCTTGCTCACAATTTAGGTCCTGATTCAGCAAAAAACTTATGCACATGTAAAACATTAATTGCTTTACTGATGTTCAGGCTTAAACAGCAAGCCTTGGGTCTACTCTATCATACTCTGTGCAACCATTATTCCCATAATGTATGTAATTCACATTATGAACTTAGAGAAGGAAATTTCATGCTTTGATTCATCACAAAAAACAAAGATTGACTATATTTTAGTCCCATGCCCCCATCTGTGATGCTAGTATTTGAAATAATAGCTGTATCTCCATGAAAGGAGAAGGAAAAGGAGCTAGAAAATGAAAAAAGACCCTAATCCTGAAGCACCATTTGACACATGGAAACATTTGCAAATTTGGAAGTGTCAGCAGAAAGCTCATGAGGCTAATACAAAGATATCTGCAATTGGAGTTTATCCTAATTCTGTCCAAGAAGCAACAGTATTTTTGGCTAAATGAGAGAACATCTGAAAATTCTGCCCATTAGAAAAAAGGGATATGAAACAATAGTCAAGATATCCTAGTTTTAAACAGGCAGATCAAATAATTATGATGTTTCTTTCAGACTGTTTTCAGAAAGAAGAGAACATTTAATCCAATAAGAAAACTTGAGCTATTCCAGTACTGAATATTACTAAGACTAAAGATATTTTTAGATATGAGAAAAGTAAGGACCAGCTACACCAACTTGTTAATGTTAGACGTATGGCATATTTTGACAGTCTAAATCAGTGGTCTCCAACCTTTTTATACCCACGATCACTTTTTAAATGTCAGAACAAGCCAAGATCTACCGCCCCATACTTTCCCCAAGACCCCACCCCTTTCTTGAAGCCCCACCCTCTCTATTCTCCTCCTCTCCATCACTTGATATCTCCAGCCCTTATATACTGCTGCTTTTTTCCCCTGATCCTTCTGTAGGAAGAGGTTTATCCAACATTTGGCCTGTCTAGACTGGAACAAATGTCACAGAAACCTCTTCTTTCGGAAGCCCCCTTATTCCTCGTGGAACGAGGGATACAGGGGTTACCGGAAGAGCATGTTTGCTCTTCCACTAAAAAAAGCAGAAGAACAAACGCATCCCTGGATGCAGAAGAGTTTTTTTGGGATATCTCTGGAATCCTGGAAAACCTCCTGCAGTCCAGCCATACCCTCACTGGATTGAGACAGGATATGTGCGCTCTGGGGTGGGAAGGAGGGATTTGGGTGTGGGAAGGAGTGAGAGATGAAAGCTCTGGGAGGAAATCTGGATGCAGGAGGAGGTGAAGAAGGGGACGCTGGCTCGGGGAGGGGACTTCAGGCTGGGGATTGTTGGGATCAGATGGAGGGTTGGGGTACTAAGCAGGCCACAGGCTTGTGGATGTGAGGGTGCAGGAATTTGGGTTGGGGTATGTGCGGGGCTCAGGGCAGGGGGGTCCAGTGTATGATAGGTTCAGTTTTAGGATCAGTGGGGAGTGGTGGTGGTGCAGGAGTGTTATGATGCTGTGGCCAGATGGGGGCTTGGCCCCAATTGGGGGTTTGTTGGCCAGGCTTCATTTTTAAATAAAATACTATATCAAACACAAAAGTTTCTGCAGTGTATGTATTAATGAGAAGGGCAGGGAACCTGTTTTGAGTCAGAGGTCACTGACCCACAGAAAAGTTAGTTGGGGGCCAAACAAGTGAGATGCAAAAAAATAACTCCTCCAAAAACTCTTCATGCCTCACTAATATGGCCCCAACTGTGCTGGTGGGAGCAGGGATCATGGTACTGGGAAAGGGTGCTAGTGGGTGCTGGGGTAGGGGACAGAGTTCTGCGGCAGGGGACAGGGTGCCAGTGGGGGCAGGGACAGGGTGTGGCTGGGGGCAGTTTCTGCAGTGTATGTATTAATGAGAAGGGCAGGGAACCTGTTTTGAGTCAGAGGTCACTGACCCACAGAAAAGTTAGTTGGGGGCCAAACAAGTGAGATGCAAAAAAATAACTCCTCCAAAAACTCTTCATGCCTCACTAATATGGCCCCAACTGTGCTGGTGGGAGCAGGGATCATGGTACTGGGAAAGGGTGCTAGTGGGTGCTGGGGTAGGGGACAGAGTTCTGCGGCAGGGGACAGGGTGCCAGTGGGGGCAGGGACAGGGTGTGGCTGGGGGCAGGGAGTCCCTCCGCACTTGCCTCCCTCCCGGGACTCCTCCCCTCTCCCCCACGCAGAGGAGGGAAGCCCTGGCGTGCGCCTCCTCCGGGGCTGACTCCTCCCTCCTGCAGAGCAGGGAAGCCCCGGTGCGTGCCTCCTCTGGCTCCTTCTTCCTCACCCCCCCCCCCAGTTCCCAGCACGTCACAGATCTGGGGGAGGGGAGCAGCCAGCGCACTTCCGGAACCCCCAGAAGTGGCACGCAGCTGCAGGACTTCCATTCACCCCGCAGGAAGCCAGCACTACCTCCACTGTTGCTGGAAGTAGATAGTGGGGCTTCTTGGGGGTGAGGGAGGGGGCCAGAACACCTTGTGATTGACTGGTCGAGCCCACAGTTGACGGGTTGGTGACCACGGGTCTAAATGGTGAGTTGGAACTGGTGAGACACAAAGACATGTGTTAATAAGGCAATAAGTTCTGCTGCCCTGTGTGCACAGAGAATGGAAGGACACTCCTCCACCCATTCACAGATGCTGCATTTTTGGTAGAATCACAGAAACAGAACAGGTCTTTATTTGTGTTGGCCTGAGATACACTGTCAAAGTTCTGCCTAATGTGCTAAGTGTCCACCCACTAAAGTCACTGATGAGCCAGGGCAAAAAAGTGCAAACACCGATGTAATCATGAATTTTAACATCTTTCTGGATATTAACACTTGTGCTTAGAAGCAAGATTTCAAAACTAACTATGGCCTTGAAATGGTGGTTTAACAGGTTCTCAGTACAGTAGTTCCACTCATTAAGCAGACCTGATCTCTCAGCCATCTTCAAACAGACCTCAGTCAGTAGTTTTGCTAACAAAAAAGATCATTTATAAGAACTGAAATGGAAGAGATGGGATCAGATAGTTTTAGCTTCTCACCTGCTGGCTGGCTAACACAGGCTGAGATGGCCCCATCTGCAATGAAGCACCTGTGATTGGCTGTATTACTGGGAATGTCATTGCTGGCTCTTGGTAATGTTGTGGTCGCTGAGAGACAACAGCAGGTGTAGCCTGAACCACTGGTAGTCCAGGCTGGAAGGAAGGAAAATAAATTTCTTTAAAAGAAGCATCAAAAAAATTGTCTACAGCTGATTTTTAAGAACATGCTTGCCACAAAATATTTAATTCAAAACAAGGAAAGAGAAATGAAAAACACAAGCAAAGGAAGGTAAATTTTACTGTAATCCTTTAAAAAAACAAGGAAAAGAGTGCTTTTCAAGGGGAGAATGAGAAATGCCATAGTTTGGTTTTCTTATTATTGGAAATAGACCTACAACCTAGAGACACATCTACTTGCCCACCAACCCACCCACCCAAAAACTTCAGGTAGGTGAGTAAACTCCAGTTTGTATCTTAAAAACAAACAACAACTTTTATTGCCATGTACTGGAGGCAATGAGATTGTTATAGTATTTTAAGAAAAAAACCTATGTATGATAAATAAAATAAGGTTCTTAATATGCAGTCTCTCAAACTCCAGTTCAAGAAAAAGGATAGGTATGTATATTAAAGAAAGGGCCAATAGACTAACCCTATTTACTAAAAAGGAACACCTCTTGCTGCATGATACTACATTACCACATCAATGTATTTAGTAATTTCCTACTTAAATCTGTGAGGAAGAATCCACTGTTTAAAAGTCAAGTAAAATCTTAAAAAACAACAAATAGTCTAGTAGCACCTTAAAGACTAACAAAACATGTACAGGCAGTCCCCGACTTACGTCGGATCCGCAGTTACGAAAGGGGTTTGCTGCCCATCTCCCTGGTCTGCTGGAGACCAGCAGACCAGGGAGATGCGGAGTAAAGCCGCGGAGCATGCGGGCAGCAGGACAGCCCAGACACGCCACAGCTGTCCCGCTGCTGGCGTCCTCAGAGGCTTTGCTCCCCGTCTCCCTGGTTTCCTGGTCTCCAGCAGACCAGGGAGATGCGGAGCAAAGCCACAGAGGACCTGGGCGGCAGGACCGTGGTGCGTCTCGGTCCCCCGCCCGCGTCTCCCTGGTCTGCTGTGGGGGGGAAGGGGGGAGGGGGCAGGTAGGATTCCAGGCTTTTCTCCGGACGCCTGTGGTAGAGCAGCCCGG